GATTTCATGAAATCCTTGCATTTTAGGTATATAGTGTCTTCGGCAATATACACGTGTCTTCTTTTTTTAGCCCCTCTTTCATAATCTGTTGGAATTTCCCGGTAATTATTTTTTGTGTTGCACAGTGTAATTTAAACAACATATATTTTCTAAAGCTGAACATTGCCCTCAAGTTGTAAAGGCAGGGAACTTCAAAATATTTATAAATATAAATTATTTTGCAATTTTTGCCACTGAACACATAATATGCGTACATTTCCGAGCTGAATACTGTCAAAGGCAAATTTATGAAAAAATTGGAAACATGACTGCATTAGACCCCAAATTGATTTTTTTCGAATAAAAGCGAATAAATCTTTTCGATCGTCATAGTGAAACAGGCAGTTAATTTTATAAAATCGTGCGAACGGATTATCTGCTAAATAAAATCTTCCTACCAAATATTATCAATTTTGGTCCACTCTTTAGGTTAGCCCCCATATAATTGTACCTCCCAATATTCGATATTTTTGAGATTTTGTGCGCGTTTTCAACTAATTGACTGCAATTTAAATTTAACTTCTCATTGGGTGTAAAATCTTCATACCAAAAACTATTATTATTGATACGTTTAATACGTTTTTCTTGCAGAATCGCAATTAGCGTCCCCGAAACAATTTTATGTGATATTTATTTATTTCATAAACTCACTGCTCTAATTATGACTATAGCCTATATCAAATTTGAAGATGTGACCCATTGGTTCACTTCTTCTGCCATCTCACCCACAAAGGACCAACATTTTATAAACATACAAATTAAATTTGAAGCGATTTGAATAACCTACAACAACATAAAATGCAAACTTTAAAACCTAATTTTTCGCTAGTTTGAGCCGATGTGGGAGAGCTCACTTTGTCATGGTGCACATTGGTTCGATTTTGAAGGGAAACAGGCGGCATTCGACCTGTTTTGCTGAAGAAATAAGTGACCAATCACTTCGAAGTTTTTTTTTTCACGAACAATTTTCATTGAGTTTGAATTGTCTTCGAATGCACATACGGTCTGCTTGGGTGCGTCCTTTAAATCATAGGAATCCGTGATTCGTCACCTGTTACGATCTTACGAGTGGCTTTTGAAGCACCGGTGGTTGACGCCATGACGATTTTGTATTTGCTCTAATAAACATTAAAATAACAATTATTTATTGAACAGACCTTATATACTAGCCTTTCTGTATGTTCCCATTTTCAATTGCAACATGACATTTATAGAACTTGGGGAATACAACAGAAGATCACCTATTGTGTACCTCTGTCTATATAAAGTTTTTAATTTGTTTTGATTGCCGTAAGGCAATAATCTGCTATATTTAAATAAAACAACTATCCTCCTCCCATATGCAGCCCAATTGCAAAACAGAAAATACCTTTCAATAATGAAGGCAATCAACTTAAAATCCAAAACAACAACAACAATTTGCATTTTGCTTAACAACTTGACTCAGACATTCAAAAGTCTATTTTGTAATTTTGTCATTGTTTGAATTGGTTGTTGGTCGGTTGTTGTTTTATTTGTTGTAACCGAAAAATAAATATTGTTCATCATATTTATGTTGGATGTTAGAGAGGGCGACGACAATCAGCAATCCATTTGCAAATCTATTTCTGAACGGACTAAGCAATTTGAATGACCGTGGTGAAGTTTGGGTTCAAAACCAAATGATCCATCCATCCGTCCGTATGCCAATACCAATAAACAAACTCATCATCGTCACCACACGAAATATCCTTCATTTGCTGTAATTTGCCATACTTGAAAAGTACTTCAGAGGACAAATCATGTCAATTGCAGGATTGGGCGACGATGATGATGTCGAAAGGACATTGGATAACGTTTTTGAGAATATAAGAAAAAAAGGTATGAACTATACATGCATGTGAACGACAAATATATATTTTATCTATGTGATTATCCTTAAGACTGCGTAAAAAGCAAATGGGGTCAAGTATTTTTTCTTCATAAAGAACATTTTATTTATATGCTTACTGATAACTGTGGGTATCTCCACCAACAATAAATGCAACAAACGTGTGCTAAAGTATAATTTAGAATTTTTATTTCGTTATGAGCCTATTGTAGAATTTCCATCACAATTTTATGTATTCTGTTGTAACATAAAAACATCACTTAGCCCAGTTTGCCATGTATCAGCCAACAAAGTTACACTATACTCCGCCCCCGAGGAACATGGTTAAATATAAAATAGAAATTCAGCAGTAGCTGCAATGGCTTATGTTTACATTGTCCTTTTTACATCAATCCATTCATCCATCCATGTATATGTGTATACGAATGTATGTGTGACAATGATGATGAACATGATAATGCTGACATTTGCAGTATTTGCTCGTTTCATCATCAACATTATTGAGGAGGATACTGAAGTCCTAACAACTTGGTCCAATGCAAACATTAGAAATACAATGGAGCTATAAATGGCCAAGGCTTGTGAATATGTGGAATCTTAATTCGTGTTTGGTGTATGGTTGTGTGCGTGTCCTTGTTGGTCTTCCCTTTTCGCCCAAGACTCTGACCTTAAATACAGACATAAACACTGAACGGGACGTTGGTTGGCATATATAGTTTTAACATCATTTGCCACGTATTTCCCATAAGCCGGAATGAGTGGTTGGTTGGATGGTCAGTATCTAGGATAGCATAAGAGGCATCATTAAAGGCATCAATCCTAAATAGCGGACATTACTTTGGACAACCGCACACATAAACACATATCTCCTTTCTAGCCATTCAGTTAGTTGGCTGTGTCGGAGAGTTTACATTTTCGGGTAATATCACGGATGCTTAAGAGGTTTCCTCTTAAATATCCCACTATGCCCTCTTGTCGTCGTCATCGTTTGTTATATTTAGCCATGGCTGATTGTTTGTTCTAAACTACAAAAGCACAGCGGAAAGGAAAAGAATGAACCAACAAATAAGTTACTTGAAAATGATGGAGAAACGTCCAAAATGGGTGACAGCACACAATAAAAGCAACAACAATTTCCTCATATTGAAGTGTAAATTAACACTTCGGTTAACTATGAAAACACAACAGCATTCTAAATAAATACACACTATTTAAGGACGGATGTGGCAGGATGTACTGTGAAAGTTGCTATCATTTTGGGATGATGGGACTTTTTAAACAATTGTTTAGCTGATTTCAAATAGTTACTAATGTCATGGGATATATTTTATGGACCCCATGTTTCTTTGAACCAAATCCGTTTCACAAAATTTGGAGTCGATCTACAAATGTCCGTCCGATCGGCTGGTGCACACGATAACTCTCGAAGGGAATAATCAAATTTATCCAAACACTGCACATCCTTATATTTCTTCCAAACTTAGTTCATGTTCGAAGATGGGGAATATCGGTCCACTGTTTCTGGTACCTCCCCACAAAGTCGTCAAAATTGTGCAAAATATTAATTTTATAATATAATGCGAACGGACCGATCCAATTTGAAAATGGCACACGATTTTGGGAATTTTCATTGATGTCCCAGAAAATTTCCTTTGATTTATTCATATTGATCCACTATGTCGTTAGAGCTTGATTTATGGTATTTTCTAAAACACTTCTGTTCTAATCAACAAAATGTCGATCATTCCCAAAACCAAGCGGATATTTATCAAAGACTGTTAAATGTCCGTTCTGTTTACATAAAATATTTGTTTTTATTTTCGTTGCAACGCGGTTTTATTTATTTACCTAATGTTGTTGTTGTTGTTTTTGTCGCTGATAATGTTGCCACTTGCCACCGCTTTTTTCTTTTTCTTCTTCTCAGAATAGAGTTTTTGGACAGCATTTAACACATGACATGCCGAGAAACACTTGAAACTGAAGATATAAGTAAATAACAACAACGGCGACGATGACGACCAATAAAAAAAAACGAAAGAGAGCTTTAAAAGGATAACAAGGATGCCTAAAGTACAAATATTTTAACAAGTGTCAAATACACACGCTTGCTCTCTACTTTTGTTGGCTGTTTTTTTTTCAGCTATAGAACAACACACACATACACAAAAGAACAGCAAGTGACAAATGAAAACAAGAAGAAAATGACAGCACCACACATGTGTGAAATGTTTATGGACGAAGGACGGGGGTTGTTACTTTTGTTTCCCTTTCTTTTACCAGGAAATGCCAAGGATTTGATAAAAACGGCATTTAAGGCATTGTGCTGTGCGCGCTCGACTAGAAATGTGAAAAGTTGCATTTGTTTGCTCCAGCTTTGCTTTAGTTCGCATTCAAGTTTTAGTTTTCTGGACCATCAGTTAACCGAGACCACCACCAACACCACTGCCGCCGCCACACCACATAATTCCCAGCTTCATCATGTGCCACTTTTGTTGTTGTTTGGTTAGTGTTGCTGCTGCTGTTGTTGTTGCTGTTAGATGTCCTTGTAAAAGTTTGCGTGCCAAGTGTTAATGTTCTCGCAGTTCTTGACAAGATTTGCCGCAGTGTTGTGTTACATTCGTGCAATTCTTGTTTTTCCAAAGATTTAAGAACTTTTTTTCGTCTAAAACTTAAGGTTGCTCATTTACTGACAGATTTATATGCCTGTGTGCATAAATTCAGATTTGATTTTATTTTTATAGAAGGGCAATACCTACCTAAGCCTTCTTTTGGAGGACTTCGTCGTAATCGCTTCTTTGATTGTGGGTCATACTTTGATTGTATTCCCTACAATTATATTACAGTGTGCTCATTATAGCAGATTCAATCATTTAATATGCTCCGACAATTATTAATTATCGGAGTGTAGCACCAAATAATATTGATTGTGTATTGGAGTGAGTACATAGCCTTTTTTCAGAAATGAGGGCAATGCCAATACATACGCCTTCAATGCGATTTTGACTTTTTGGATTCCTACCATATTTTTTTAGTAAATTTATATAACATTATTAATTATCCTCTCTCTTCCTTTCCATTTACTTTCAGTTATGCTGTAATAACTGGCCTTATTGACATTTTATCCCGACGATGCATGAAAATACGTGAGAGTATCGAAAATCACCAGAGTGTCGTATTATCCTTGCTGGCCACGCTCGGCTTCATAACCCGATTTATTGATGTTTGTCCACCAGGTAAGTTAACTTAACTATATGTAAGATGTATAATTGGAAGTTTGGAACCACTTTAGCCGACCAAAATGTTGTGTCTTGGAATTTGAATTGATGTTTATAGAATGTGTAACGAAATAGGCATTAGTTTACATCTAATTATATCGCCTTAAATGATTTGCATTGAAGGTGTTATTGTGTTAGCAGTCTCACTTCTTTTGCACAATGTGTTGGGGTGACAAACATTGGCCGAGTGAGACTCGGGTCCCTCATTGTTATCTTTAATGACTGTAATCTAGCATTTTCGGTTCTATTTAAGGACTTGTTTTAAGTTACGCGTCGTAATGTAACGCGCGTTAGATTTTGCTAACCTACATAAAGTGCGCTATTCACCAAACATTTGAAATTGTCATTTAAAATGTGGTGCTGAAAAATTGGGTTAGGCGACAACATTTACATTTTATCAAGATAATGACCCCAAACACAAGTTCTAGATCGTTCGAAAATGGATGCTTTCTAATTTTCCACAAGTAAAACACCTCCCCAATACCCGGATTTAAATCCTATAGAGAACTTATGGAGTATTTTGGAGAAAAATATTAGAAACCATAACATCTCAAGCATACCAAGTCTGAAAAATATTTTACAAGTAGAATGCGGACAAATTCAGACATTTTACACGAACAATTTGGTAAAATCTATGCCGGCAAGGCTGAATGCTGTAAAAGATAACAACGGATATCATACTAAGTATTAACCATCCAATAAATCCGTTTGTAAAAATACTTGTATCTTGGAGACTTTTCACTGAGAGCCTGCAATTGCTTTTGTTTAGCAATAATTATTTTTATATCCTAGAGCCTAGACATGTCCTCTTTCTAAAACAGTTGGAATTTTCAATTGGTATGTTCCAGTGAGGAGTTATCATGCCCGCCATCGAAAATAGACTTTTCACCCAAAAAACAACAACAAACACAACAACAACAAATTTTTAATTTATTCTTTATTTTTAAATCTTCAAAATTGTGCCAAGTTACAAACCTTAACAAGCACTTTTACAAAATTTAAAAAATTATTTTTTAAAACTTAAAAATAAAAAATAACTTTTATAAATAATGGGGGGGTTCCCTTACTTTTTTAAGTTACGCAAAAATGTAACGCGCGTTAGATTTTTAACCTACATAAAGTGACCGCCATTCACGAAATCATTTGAAATTATCATTTAAAATGTGGTGCTGAAAAATTGGGTTAGGCGACAACATTTACATTTTATCAAGACAATGACCCCAAACACTTTTGATCAACTGTGTGATGGATAAAATTTTTAATTTTCCAAAAGTGAAACAGGCCCAATGCCCGGATTTATTTATAAAAGTTATTTTATTTTATTTAAGTTTTAAAAAATAATTTTTTCTAATTTTGTAAAAGTGAGTCTATAGTTATGCAACACCAGCAATTTTAAAATCTATGCCGGCAAGGCTGAAACCATAAAGAATAAATTAATTATTTTTGTTGAATCCAATAAATGTGTTTGTAAAAATACGTTTTATTGTGAACAATAACTTAATGAGAGCCTGCAATTGCTTTTGTTTAGCAATAATTATTTTTATATCCTACAACTATGTTGTCAGGGTGTTATTTTGTGTGGCCCCAAATGTTTGTTATGCCGCGAAATATTGGTCTTAACCCACCTTTTAGTATACCGATCTTCATATTTCGGCTAGCTGAGTCGACCTAGACATGTGTGTCAGTCCGTCTGTCCGGTTATAGGTCAATCGTCATGAACTTTGCATGAGGATGAAATGGACCAAAAACTTTATTTTTGTCTGTTTTTCTGGTCGCTCTAGAGGCCACAATTATGACCAAAACATTATAAAATTTTACACAGAGAACGACCATAGAATAAGTTTGCTAGTTTTGATAAAGATCGGTGGATAAAATAAAACCAGACTTTTGTGTGAAAAATTACAAAATTTGTATTCTACGGCAAATATATTTACTCCTGATGGATGCAGATCCGCGATGTTGATTGTATATACTAGAGGAGTGGTTGACCTTTAAATTGATACGACGTTTATATATTTCGGATATGATTAGATGATATTTAGGGGATGAAATGGACCAAAAAGTTTTTTGTTTGTTTTTCAAGTCGCTCTATAGCCCACAGGGAGTCAGGCCAACTAACTAGAAGGACGGTCGATATTCAGGGGGTCAAAAACTCCAAGATATTTCTGTGTAAAATGAAAAATTTAGCATATTATGGCACAAATTTTCCCACCGGAAAAAATATTTCGAAAATATATAATAAAAATAAATACTTTTGGACTAATATAGAACTACTCACTTCTAGAGTTATCGTGATATTGCAAATTTAATTTTATACGGGATGTATCAGAAGTTGTGAATCTATATCAAGCACTATAATATGTTTGCATGATTTTATTAATTTATTTTAAGCAAAAACTAACAAAATTTATTGACCGATATTTCCCATCTTCGATATTGATTTATGATTGGAAGAATATCGTATTATTCTTCGTGCAAAGATTTAATGAAATCGGACTCCAGGACTCCAAATTACCTGCAACGGATTGGGTCTAAATAAACAAATGTTTCGATGAGGTACATTTCTGTCTTAGTAATGTGTATATACAGAGAATCAGTCAAAAATATCCACTTGGTTTTTTTTTAATAATAAAAATACCATATGTGCGTAGCGGTATGGTCCGCCGGGACCAACACATGATACCCTACACAACATCCACTGAGCTCTAAGTTCCTGCGGATCTATATTCTGTGCATGGGCAATATTTCGCGACATTGCACTCTCTTCATGGCCATCGGCAGTGGCGTTGCACAATCCAATATGTTGACTCAGCCTATAAAATATTTAATGATGGAACATATGGATCCATTTAATTAAATACCCAACCATTGCACATCGTAATATTTTTATACAATGCCAAAGATCGAAAATTTTTAAATCTCTTATAAAGCGAATAGAGTGACAAATTTGAACCAATGTATGTAAATCGTAATAATTTTATAAACCCTATATAAAATCCGATAAAAATGGAAAGCTAATGGAGTGTCCAATTTAAACCAAACTTTGCATATTTGATTCGTCTAACCTACATTAAATCTTAATATTGGGTCTATAGGACCACTTCTTCTGGTATCTTCTTTGATAAAAAAAATATAAATCGAATGGAGAATCCTTTTGGTACGATCCTGGCAGATATTTATATTTTCATTAACCATACCTTACAACCCTTCAGAATTTGACACTAGACAGTGATCTGCAATTGAAAAGTCAGCATAAGAGACAATTTATACTTGTTTTGGTTTTGTATAAATATATCTCTTTTATATTTTCGGGAGTTTTAATGTAAATGTTTGACCCCTCCAATTCAAGTGAGTATTTCCACCTTATCCCCTTTTCACAAATTTACAAAAGAATTCCATATGTTCGAAACGTATATTTAAAGCAAAACATCCCTATGTATTTGCACTCGAAATATTAATAAATTATTGATTTATAAATATTTGAACCAAATAAGTTATATTTGCCACATTTCCTTACGTAAAAGAAGGTTGATATGAATTATTTTTTATTTCATACACATTTCCCTAGAAATATATTTCCAACTCTCTACATTTCGAATAATACATTTACCACTTCCTTTAATGGTAAATTTATCAATGAACGAACAAAAAAAAAACGTATGAATGAGGTTGTAAAAAAGGAAATTACCCAACTTTCCTATTCCTAAGACTTTGTATGTTTAGTCCTTTTTCTTTATGCACTGACTGGCTGACTTTCGGCTAATTGACTGATGACTCAAACAGAAGATAGAAAACTCAATGTTGACTGACATTCACACCTTGTGGCTAATTTGCTGTTCTTTTTTTATTGACAAACCAGCAGGCCAGCATAATTTTCACCTTTTCCCTGTTGTTGCTTTACCATTATTTTTACATTATCGTTGTTGTTGTTGTCGTTGTTTACCACCTTAAACTAATTTTTTATTTCTATTTTTCTATCATTTTCATGTATGTATTTTACAACAGGACCTACCGATCCGACACGTTTCCTCAGTGCGGCAAAATCAACAGAACTCTTTGGCTCCATTTCCATGCTGTATGCCAGTGTGGTACCCATAGGTAAGTTGTAAATGACAGAAGGCAATTTGATTCGATTAGTTGCATCAACACACTTAGGAGGCGGACAGCCGGACGAATGAACTGAACGAACGAATGATGTGGAAATGAGTCATTTTGTGTGTGTGTGTGTGTTCGTGTGTTGTGCGCCTTACATTTGATTCTAATCAAGTGCAAAGTGCATTTTTGTTCCAAAAAACACAGGACGGATTTATTTCGGAGATAATTCAAAAGATTTATTGCCTGACTTGATCCACGTTGGCTGGTTGTTTGTTGAGCTATGACGTGAGTTTTTCTTGAAAACGGAAATTATGAAGTTTTCCTGATGCGGAATGGCCGTATATCTTTGGTCAATTTATGAGTTTATGATTTCATATCCGTTCGTTTAAACTTGTTTAGTTTTACGACTATTGAGCAATGACTGTGTGATGCTCTGACGAGAAATATCGAAGACGTGTGTCCTATTGATTTTATTTGGTTATACCTTCCTGGTTCCTTCCTTTTTTCTTTCAATTACAGGTGAATGCATTCCACCGAGAACAATTTCGTTAGCGGCAGCAACATTTAATTTACTTGTATCAATGGCTGTGTTGGATTTAGCAACGTTCCAGGTAAGTTTGATTTTTTTCTGTCTATACAAAATAAGAAAGGGCGAATTTAAGTCACTATTTATGGAAAATTTTTTAATAATGTTTTCAAAAAAATTAGCAGTTTTAGGTATATTTTGTTATAGAGTCTAACTCCGGTTAAATAAACATAGATTGCTACTACTTCTAGGTATCACTAATGTATATCGGTCCAAGTTTTAGGAATTTTTCAATAGAAGATCTGGCCTTTAGATATTTTGAAGGACCTTGCCGCAAACGAAGTTGGTGCTATTTGCGATAGAATTGACTGCAATTCGGCATTTCGAGTATCACAAAACTATGTCTATATTTTGATATAGTCCTTATTATAAATTTGTTCCCTTTCCAAAGTGACTTTGTTTTGGCGTTACGAGTTACCAGATTATGATTCACTTCTTGATAGAAAAAATTCGGAATAAGCCAATGTTTTGACATTGACCTCATATAAATATACTGCTCAGAGGACAGAAGACTTCCTGGTTGGAAATTGCCAATATGTTTTATAAAATCGCATTTTAAGTATTTTCTAATGTTTATATTCATTTTCCCCTCGAATTTTCAGGATTTCCAGTTATATAAAAGAGCTTAATGATAAGTGATCGAGTGACTGACAGATACTAGCCAATACTTTGAAGCTCAAAGCTAAAAATTTTGAGTGCGTGTTGTTGAGATAAGGCTGGAAAGTTAGAAGCATGAACAAAAGAGTTTGTGGAAATTCGTCTTATAAGTGTACGAAAAGTACTATTGAACATATAAAGCTAGAATTTTAAAATTTTATATGGGTTGCGAAGTGGTGTCGATGTATGGAAATGGTTTTAGAGTTGTAGAATTGAAATATGGAAGTATAGTACTCATGTTGACTAAATGTGCGAACAGATAGAGTTGGACTCCAGAATTTTGAAATTAAAATTATTTTTGGAGTGTATGATGGAGGTAGATTATGGAAATCGTACCTTTGGGAACAAAACTGGAAACCTGAAATTTATGGATACGAAAGATACTAAATGATACTAAAAATGGTACAATTTGGATTTGTCTAAACGGATAGGGGTGAAATCCTGAATTTTTTAATTAAAATTATTGTTGGAATGTAAGATTGAGAGGGTTTTGCAAATTCGTACTTACTGACTGTATTAAATATGGGCTAGTTGAATTTGTGTGAAGGTTAGTGCTGGATTGTGAAAGTTTTGCAAGTTTTTTAGGGAACGGAAGGTGCTCTAATGGGATAAAATTGGAATCCTGAAATTTGGAATTTAGATTACTGTTGGAGTTTAGGATTAATGTAATTTTGAGAATTTCTTCTTATGGGTACTAAATTGTACTAACTATGATACAATTTGTTTCTGTGTGAACGGATGGGGATGGAATTCTGAAACCTCTATCTCTATATATATAAAAATTACATGTATGTTCGTGATCGCTAATTGTATGTACATACTCTATGGGGCGTGAGGAGTGTTTCTGTGTTGTTTGAAGTTCATCCGACAGATGGCGCAATATTTAGTTTTTTTGTTGTTTTTCACCATAATTTAAGAACTACTGCACCGATTTTGACAAAACTTTACGTATATGCTCTATGGGGCGTGAGTAGTGTTTTTGAGTTTAATTTTAAGTTCGCGCGATATATAGCTTCTTTGTGTTTTGCCCGATTAAAGATTTGGTGCTTAATCGGCGTGTGCCGACGCTAAGTATTCCGATACCGACTCATACATAATCTGTATTGGTAAAGCGCGTTGCAGTCAAACGAAAATAGAATAAATTATCAAATTGAAGTAAAATTAATTTAAATCTATTGATAAAAATGATGTAAAAATGTATAGTAACTCATCAATTGAGAACGGCGGCACCGATTTGAATCAAAATTTCTTTCAGTTGTCTGTAATTGAAGTGGGAATGCTTTTTTGAAAGAACATTTTGAGAAAAAATAGGGGAAAATCTTGCAAAACATATTTTGAAGGAAAGGCTGGACCGATGTGCCTACCATTATGTGGTAGGCACAATTTAATTTTACTACTTTCAAAGTACATAAAATCGTACTATGCCAAAATATGGAGCAAAAAAATGAGGCTTAAAACGCACAATAATGGCGAGCCAATTTTTTACATTATAAAACCAACACATGGCATATATCCCACTCGATATCTGAATCATTGGCTGAAACTTGAACGTATTCTAAATAGGAAATAAAACTTTATTTGTGAAAAATTTCAATACATATAAATAGGATATACCAAAATGTCCATTACATATACCTCCACAATTTAGCTAGCTATGGAAGGCATTATTGAAAATTTTATTATATTCGGGAAGTTTGAAATCCTTCATGGAGGCAATTTGGTATTAGCTGATCTAGGTGTCTAACTTATATGTGCCTTTATGGTTCCTCAAATATATTGTTCATGATATGAAAAATGTTTCCATTGAGAACCACTGCACAAATTCGACTCACATTTTCCTTCGATTGTTTTTAATTGCAGTGGGAAGAGTTTTACCAAAGAAAAGATTGGAGTAATTAAACACAACGCACCTTTTATAGAACTTATGAATCGTATGTGATCAAAATAGGAATAGTAATTATTTTTTATTGTGGAAATTTGACGTACATTTTTTGGTAAATAGTTTTTGAAATATACAGTGAGTGTAATAAGTATTTTGCCTCAATACAAATTTGACAAAATTCGAATATATACGCCTAAAGCCAGCATACTAAAGATGTAAAATGAATTATTTATGATGGGATATGTTTGTGGCCATATTTAGATCTTATTTCTGCAAGAATCACTGCGAAAGACCTATTTGTCTCGAAGATATCGGCCAAAATCTATACCAACCCAAAAATGATGATCACAAAAAAGTATTTTGCTTTTTATTATCATTTTTGAAAAAATCATTATATAACACACGCTTTGTCTTTTTATAGTTACCACTGCGGGTAATCACATACTAAAAGCGATTTGGCGACGATTCCAATAAACCACAGCATTTTTTCGCGAATATTTTCTCACATTTACGTTCATTACATTCTCCAGCAATTTTTCATTTAATATATGGTAATTTCTCGTCCTAATCTCGTCCTAAATGAGAGTATTAGATATGGTCGTCGCGGCTTAAAAACATCCCAAATAAGTTTAGAATAATAAAAAGAATGTTGAAAATAAACCGCGAGGACAGGACCTTAAAAACTATTAAAACCAAAATCCGACAAACAAATTGTCTAAAAAAATATCGCGAAACCCCATTTTTCTGACTTTGATTACTTTATGGTTCATTAATATTGATCTAGGAACCATATATGCGATGAAAATTGCAATAAGGTGGTCAGATTCAAAGAAATGAACAGTTCTAAAACAACAGAAACTACAAACAGTACATGAAGTTGGGAGAAAACATCATTCTTCGTCAAATACTTTTGCGTTTTAAAAAACTGTGGTAGCTGGTGACGAATACGCAGTCAATATTTTACATCCGTTTAGCACCATCAGTTGCGAATAAAATCCAGCAGTGAATAAACTGGTCGATCTATTTATTTTCGAAATTTGATGTATTTCTATTGCCACAAAACCGTACATATCTTAGAATCTGACCTCCTTATTGCAATTTTCATCGCATATATGGTTCCTAGATCCATAAAGTAATCAAAGTCAGAAAAATGGGGTTTCGCGATATTTTTTTTAGACAATTTGTTTGTCGGATTTTGGTTTTAATAGTTTTTAAGGTCCTGTCCTCGCGATTTATTTTTCAAAACCTTCTTTTTATTATTCTAAACTTATTTGGGATGTTTTTAAGCCGCGACGACCATATCTAATACTCTCACTTAGGACGAGATTAGGACGAGAAATTACCATATATTAAATGAAAAATTGCTGGAGAATGTAATGAACGTAAATGTGAGAAAATATTCGCGAAAAAATGCTGTGGTTTATTGGAATCGTCGCCAAATCGCTTTTAGTATGTGGTTACCCGCAGTGGTAACTATAAAAAAACAAAGCGTGTGTTATATAATGATTTTTTTCAAAAATGATAATAAAAAGCAAAATACTTTTTTGTGGTCATCATTTTTGGGTTGGTATAGATTTTGGCCGATATCTTCGAGACCAATAGATCTCTCGCAGTGATTCTTGCAGAAATAAGATCTAAATATGTCCACAAACATATCCCATCATAAATAATTCATTTTACATCTTTAGTATGCTGGCTTTAGGCGTATATATTCGAATTTTGTCAAATTTATATTGAGGCAAAATACTTATTACACTCACTGTATTTTCGATGAATTCGTTAATTTTTACCAACCCTATATTGATGCAATTCTGTTAAGGCAAAACAACGTTTGACGGGTCTGCTTGTTTTGAAATAAAATTACTGTAGGAGTGTAGGATTGATTTGTCACGAAAAGTGCAGAATGGCACAAAATATTGTACAGATTGTACATTTGTATGGCTAACGGATAAGTCTAAGAATCTGAAATTTATAATTAAAATTACTTTTAGAGTTCAGAATTGAGATATGGAAGTAGTTTTGAAATTTCGTAATTATGTGTACAAATTGATACTAAATTTGGTACAATGTAGATTTAAGTGAACTGATAGAGATGGAAGACTTAAATATGGTACAATTTGTTTTGTGTGTACGGACAGTTGGAATTAAAACTACTGTTGTAGTGTAGGATTGAGACATAGTTTTGGAAATTCGTACTCATGGGTACGAAAAGTACTAAATTTTGGTACAATTTTGACTGATCCTGAAAGTTACAACTACGATTTCTCTCGGAGTTTAGGATTGAGATAGTTTTGGAATATGGGTACGAAAAGTACAAAATGGTACCAAATCTCGTACAATTAGGATTTTGGTGAACAGATATAGCTGGAACCCTTACATTTGGACTTAATAATACAATTGGAAAGCAGGATTGATGTAGTTTTGGAATTACGTACTTATGAGTACGAAAAATACAAATTTGGCAATAAACTTGATATTAGATACAG